AGTTAAAACTACCAAACCCATACAGAGGTTTGTTAGTGAAAATAACATATAAGATATAAAGTTTTTTCTTAAGAAACGCTCGATAACTATCTGGACATTATAAAGATTTTGCATGTGAAATTTGAAAATTTTCTGATGCATAAAAGTATTTTTAATCTTAAAATGAAAATTACTTTGCGTGATGGATAGGCAACATGCGAAAAGAAAAAAAGTCATGAGAAAAACATTGCTTAACAAACCTTAAGACTTAATTTTAAAAATGTGATATTTTGTGTATGAAAGCATTGTAATGTTTACTGATAATCTGCCAAATTTCGTTAACATATGCTTACTAATTTAAAAGTTATAGCATGAAACTATAACAAGCACAAAATGGTTACAAGGTCAGTCCCAGGAACTGAGCCCATGCTGAAAAGTGTTAATATAAAAAAGATGTTATTATATGTTTTTTTAAATGTAGTTCGGTTTAACTCATAATGCTGGGGCCTTAGGTGTAAATAACTAAAATTAAACATGGAATTTTAATACAAATAGATTAAACTATGCTAATATATGATTGAATTTGTAACAGAGACTGCTTTAAAGTATTTAAAATGCTATCCTCACACTCTGTTAAAATAAAGATAGATTTTTTTTTTTAAGACTATAATAAAACACTTTAATAAAAGAAGTCTGTGATAAAATAAGGCTTGATTTTCAATATAGAATGTCTTCACACTGTGTTAAAACAGTGTAACAACCAAAAGGTTGCCACAGGACAACCATGCTGGACAACTAAGGATTAGTCACTCACAATACTGGCATCTTAAAAGGTGATGATGGGAGATCTGAAGATTAGAAGACAAAACACAGGAGGGTGAGATAGTGACAGGACAAAAAGCTGGAGAAACAAGCATAGGAGCAGGAGAGAACTGCGAAAGTCGGGAAACAAGAGATGAAATAGAGGAATGTTGGCAAGCTGCTTCCACACAAGACTCTAAAAAATCAGGTACATCTCCAAAGAAGAAAAAGAGCCAGACAAAGGTCACATAGATAAGAAGCAGGTAAACACAAACAATTCAGAGGTGCATCGTTGCCTAGTAGGTCCCAATAACAAAGAAAGCATGTATGGAGTGACAAATCAAAGAAGATAATCACACCAATGTGGAGAAAAGAAAGAAACACATATCCATCGACCAACCCTCATGGGAACAATGGATAGCTTCAGAAAGGAGAAAAATAGAGGAAACATAATGTAGGAGAGTCGTAAGGATGAGGTGAAGACATAAGAATTGGGCAGAGAAGAAATAGATGGAAGAGAAAGGATCGATACCCCATGTCTGAATAAGGGATTCCGGAGGCTGAGAGTCAAGGAAAAGAAACTCAGACTTATAGTAGGTTAAAGCAAGCATGTCCACCAAACTTGGGGGGGACAAGGCATGCTGGCACCTGCACGAAGGTGGGAAAGGAACTGATCAGCATGAACGTGAATATTTGAGGGGGGGTGGACACAATAATCATAAGCTGGGCCAGAATGCAAAAGAGATGGGAAAGAATCATAGGAAACAGGGGAAAGAGACAAAAGGTAACAAACCTGAGATACCATATCTAGGAAGAACGAGGGAGATTCACAGGAGTAGACTGGGAAGGATGTAAAAGGAAGATCAGACCTCAGTTCAGTAGAGGCCACAGACCACATGTAAGATTCCAACTCTCAATGCACTAAGGCCAAAAGCTCCTTGACAGAAAGAGTAAAGCCCAATGCCACAGCAGTGTTAAATTTAACAGGATCAGTAGTAATGACATTAAATCGTGAGTTCATAATGTGGAATAAAGAAAAGATGTCCACAAAATAATGACAACAGGAAAATAAAGTTGTAAGGTGAGAGGAATTAATTGCACACCTGCACTACTGAATACCAAATTGATAAGTGATGATTGTGCTCTACAGTATTGAGAGTCAGGTAGAAAGTTACAACATAGCATAACATGTGATGTTAGATGGGAGCTTCAAGGCTATTGGCAAGCAAAATTTGCATATATAGAAGGAAACCCAGATCAAAGAAAGCTATTAAGTGAGAAGAGTTATGGTACTGTATCAGAAACAAGTATTTAGTGGCAATTTGTCATAGTCAGCTGAAACTTTTGATTTTAAAGTTCAGAAAAGGTTAATTGTATCGTAACAAGGCAGTTGAAAAAAAAGGATATCCGATACTCTTCAATTTCTCTTTTATCTTCTTCTGATATCTTGGATTCCATCTCCATTTTGGTTTTATCAACCAAGTCAAGAAAAGCTACTTCATCATCATCCAAACCACGAATAAGATTTTCTGTGAAAAAATGGGGTGAGGCTCATACAAAAAAAATCTTCAGAATATATATATTTTAATTTGATCTTATCAAGTGCTCTAATTTAGATAAATAAATATAACACATAATTCCAAAGTCTATGAAACTGTATAATCTCTAGCAGTTATAGTAAAGAACCTAAGCTGTTTGACTGTGACAATTATCATCAGGTTTTAATAGAGTTAGCAATCAGTTTGTTACCTATATTAACCTTTAAAAACAATGAATGCAATATACAAGATGGTCCAAAATTATCTTTCCTATTTTTAATTTAATAACTAACTTAATAAGAAAATACAATCATACAGTTTTCAACACCTTGTAGCCCAACTCAAACAGTTTTTATTGACATGTCAGTAGACTTCTAGGTGTGTAACATTAGTGGCTCTCAGCACATCTAACCAATATTCAATTGCAGTCCACGCTCCCTGGAACACGTTCACAGTTACACTGGCAATGACATTCGTTATCCTGGGCTTTAGATATGTGATCTATTGCTACAGGTGTGCGATACCCGATATCCTTAACATACCCCCATAATTCTTTTCTGTACTGGTGTCTGTAATTATGTTGCACCACAGTCACTGACTTGGTCTTTGCAAGTCAAACAATGCATTGAGCCTTTTCTTGCATGATTGCCATTTTATAGGGTAACACTTCTCATTGGAGCGATAAAAAAAAACATGACAATAAAAACTGTCCGAGTTGGCTACAAGATGCTGAAAACATCATAGTTGTATTTTATTAGTTATTTAATTATTAAAATAGGAAAGATAATTTTGGACCACCTTGTATTAACGTGATGCAAACTAGAGTAGAGCAATTAGTGGAATTTACTACTTAATTAATTACCATGTTTATTAATCAATTACTCTCACATGTGGCTTGGAGAGCAGTAATAATCTGAAGCATTAATTTTGATTATATCTATTAATGGAGTTCTTCTACAAGTTATATTGGAAAACCGTTTTTTTTAGTATCTTTAAAATTTTTTTATCACCACCTACATGAAGAAACGAGGAGACTCTTGAGAGCTGATAATTATCTCATGTGCTTACGCAGCTTGTAGAAATACACACAATATAGAAATTTCTAAAATACTACATAAAGAGAAAGCTTTGCCAAATCAGTAAGTATAAAGAGTGTTTAACATACATAGTGTCTACATCTTCTTTGCATTGTCAATTCTCAAAGACTCGTATAGCTAAAAGAATTTACTAAGCTGTTTTTTTTAAATCTCACAGAAGCACCGGAAGAAGAATTTGATCATCGATCCTTATTTGACAGATTACAAGAACAAAAGGATAAGCGACAAGCAGAATATGAAGAAACACATAAGCTAAGTATGGACTGTGCTGAGAATAACTTTAACCTTATGTAATACTGCTTTATTCACTGATGTTTTGACTTTTGCTTAACTACTAGAAGTTGGGAAACTAATACATTTTGAAGTTTGTTAGCACTCATACAAACATGACTTGTTTTTTTTGTAATATAAAAGGTTGTAACATGTACAAAGTACAGAGTGCTTACAACAACTATTGACTATCCCTAATCCTTACAATTAAATACTATCATCCCATAGCCAGAAAATGCCACAAAAAAGTACAATCACAACTTTACTTGAATAAAATTCTGCTTATTTTACTGATTCTATTTGCCAGTGGTATTTGTTGTTATCTAGCAGTAGAAGACACTGTAGCACCAATTTATGTTTATATACAAAGCAGTTGTCTAGCACAGGGGTTTCAAAACTGGGGGCTACAGTAAAGTGTACTCAATGTCTATAAATTGATTGGGTGATGGGCCTCTCTCAGGAGGCTTAAAATTTGATAAGGTGGAATCCCCAAATATCAAGGCCAAATGGATAAGCAACCAGATGAATGTTTTGAGTACAGCTGCCATACCAATTCTGCTGCCTAGATGCTGCAAATGAGGGCTCAACAGAGGGAGAAGGTTGGTTGAAAAATACATGAACCGGCTGAATCAATTTCAATGAAATTTTTTAGAGGAACTCAAATGGATCCTCCAAAGATTGAACTTCAAAGGATATGCAATTGAACAAATGGTCCAAGTTTGGAAGTTTTTGCAATTTTACCACCTTAACGATGCAAATGAGGCCAGTGTCTTTTATACCATAAACAGTTTTAACTACAAGCCATAATAAAAATAGTTTAGCCTATTTATAATCTTTCCACTTAAAGTTTTAGATTTATTTCAGAACTTTTGGATGTATGAAATGCTGGACGTACAAAAAAAAACATATGATATAAATGGAAGCATTAGCTGTCTCTTCCACTGCTTTGAGCCATAGTGCACAAACTGTTTGTCTTATACAAAGGTTTGTATCTGTTAGGTGTTGTGTTAAAATATCACATTTGTTTGAAGTCGGGTTTATATATTTTGCTACCAGCTTACTTGCTTAGCTGAACTTACTTTTCATAAAATTATAATCAGAATAACTTTAATGAATCTGCTTGGACTAAAATTAATTAATTGGACTAATTAAAAAGAGAAGTCCTCATAGTAACCATATAATGATTGTACAAGAAAACACTTCCTGTATTCTTTTCTTCCACTAAGTTTCAAGTTTTTACAATTTTTAGCTGTAAGCTTTCAGTCTGTTGTTGATGACCAAGTCAGATTTAGTTAAGTAATGGAGTGAAAGGCAGTTTTACAAAAAACATCACAAAAATACTGAAAATATAATGCATATTTTATCATCTTATACACCAAAAATGTTTTGGGTATTTAAATATTCAACAATAGTGATGGATCATTTAAAAAAAAAAAGGACAGAGCTTATCACAATTCAAAAAGATAACTGAAACACAGATTTGCTGTAAAGAAAAAAGTCAACAAGTTGAAACAATATGTTGATTAAAAATACAAGAGGGAGCATCACTAGATGAATTACAACTACTACACAGTAATATGTCAAAACAAAACTCTCTATATTACAGATACTTTCCCTCAGTTACACATACATCACGTATAACCATTAACAAGCCAATAATCTAAAGCAGCTTTTCACACATTTGTCATTAAAAAAAAAAGGTACAAGAAGTTACACGATGCTAAAAACAAGTGCTTTTAGGTTTTTTAAGCCTAAACATCGAACTGATTTTGTGAAAAACACAAAGAACGTGAATGCCATCTTAGAAATACACTCGTGGAAAATACTTTGCTTATACAATTACTTTTAAGATCAACAATAAAAATACTACGGATAGTTTTTAATATCCGGGTGTGTGTGTGCGTGATATATATATATACATGATTTATCACTAATTTTTTTACCTCTTTAAAATGATCTTTACTGACACACAATATATCTTTATTCCTACCTAATGGTTGATCAGGTCTTCTCACTTTCTCCCATTCCTCTTGTCGAACACGCCTCCTCTCCTCTAACTCAGCTTCTGAGACAAATGATTTAAACTGTGCAACTGATGATGCATCATTCGAGGTAGTGTCACTGAAGCTCATTTTGGAACGACTACACTTTTAACAGTAGTCCTGTAAGAAAAGTAAAGTATGAACATGCTACATCTAACACATATCTAATTAATTTGAAAAACTTTTATCAGTGGATATCAAGTTCTTCTTTATTGAATAATAACAATGTGTTTCTTAGTTGAAATATTAAAGGTTGCAGATATCTTTCAAGGTGTTGGAAATGACTAATAGTCTCTAAATGTTCTTCATTCTCAACTTTGAATACTTTTTTTCTCAAGAACCCCCTTCAAAAACAAATCAAAATCTCGCAGATCCCCATACTCAGATCTATATGCAAAAGCCGATCCTTTGAGGTATAAAAATTGCACAGACATAAACATGCATGCTAAAGAATTTTTGACATGATCAATATTTTCATTTAATCAAATACAATATATTCTAATTTTTTTCAACTATAATATAGAAAATATTATGTTTTGCACACCTTTTCTAAGCTGGCTAAGCATGATGTTAATTAACTATACTTGTCATAATATATTACTATTATACATACAGTCCGGTTGTAGTATTATTATACACGCTCCTTCTTCAGAAAATCCCATGATACTGAATAAAGAATATAACATTAAAAAAATATAAAAGGCCTAATACTAATACTTTATGACAAGTATAATTAATTATGGTAAAGGAACTCTGTGTTTATTGTCATTAACTTCCTTTAAAAATATGGCACTAACATATATTCCAATGAACAAATTATTTTCTATAACTTAAAAAGAATAGATATAAATACTAGGTTTGTAACAACCTAAAAATAAAAGATCTACGTGTTTCACTTTACTGAATTTTTATATTTTCTCCAATTAATACTAATTTTCAAGTCACATTATTTATGCTACATAGAAAAATTGCATACTTTTTATATCACTAGTGCTCTGCTCCAACCAACACACACATACACACACACACACACATTACATCATTTGGCAAGTCATTCTACAAGTTAGTAAATTTGATAGAAGAAAACATTTTGCCTGATAATCATCCTGAACCTTGGCCATCATATTATTTCCTCAAATATATAGGATTTCATCCCCAACCTTATCCTTCCACAACTACTAAAACACTTATTTGCTCTTTTCACCTCTTCAAGAAATCCTATCAGAGGCTTGAAATTTTTATCAGTCATCACACCACATCTTTCTCACTTGTCACACGACTAATATTTCTCTCATGCAAAAAATAAGGTTTTAGATACTGATGATAAATATATTATTGACTCATTATTGTTATAACTGAGATTATGATATAAAAGTAGATATCAAACCAATGTGATCAGACACGATTTTTGTTTGGAAACTCATATTTATTGAAATGATTTGAATAACAAAGCCTGTTAAAAACTGAGTATAAGAAAGGACTAGATGACAGAAGGCCATTTCCACTCTTAAGATCACCCAATAAAGAAACTTGCTCAACCTATATATATAATCCATTCCTATCTATAAAATTATCCAACAAAACTTCAAAGGAGTTTTAAACTACACAAAGATGTTAAAATATCTAGCTAATTATATTTACACAAAGATATTAAAATATCTAGCTAATTATATTTACACAAAGATGTTAAAATATCTAGTTAATTATAGTTACAGTCATATATTAGGCTTAAGGTCAGTATTTAATAAGCATGAGAGATTCATTAGAGAGGAAAGGTAATCTAATGATAAAAAATACAACTACAGAAGTAACAGAGGCATGCATAGCTGGATGGTGGAAAGGGTCCAACAACACCCCAATATTATAAAACATTTATTAGTAAACATTTCATTAAACTAAACTCCTTATTATGCTTGCACTCTTTAAGTTTTGAATACTTTCATTCTTCAAGTGTCATTAAGGCTAAAGTGAATCACTTAACTTCTGTATGTAGAAAGTTCACATTTTTTTAGATCCCACTAACTCTGTATCTTTAGTGCTGGCTACTCCCTTCCCCAAATAACATACTTAATTAACCTTTTGGAATACAAACACACATTCCATCTTCAGCAAATTCCTATTTTAAATAGTTTATACAAAATTAAAATCACAAGTAATAACAGGAACATTAAATGAAAGCTTTATACGTTATAGCAAAATACTGTATTATCTACAAAATCAGTAATGCCTTATCTTTAATTTTTAGAAATGAGCCTACCTTATGATTCATAAAGATAAACTAAATTGTTTGCCAACTTTAAATAAGAGTATACAATATGCCTCTTATTGCAATATAAAATACAAAGTCTCACTATGTTTAATAGTAAACATTGGACATCATTAGCCTGAGAGTCTTTCAACAAAGTTTAGTGTTAGGAGAATAACGCATTAGAGTTGCAAGGAGACATTAATCTATTCAGGTTAACTTCACACTCCACCTTAGAATTCCTAATTTCGAGGAGCAGATGTATTATTTGAGGGTCGGAATGAGATGCTTGTATACAGTACCAGAATAGAGGACACATTGACATGGAAAGTGTCACAAGACAAATATTGCCAAGGGCAAGTAAGTGGTGTATAAAAATACTGAAGCAGGCAGGAAAAAAATCAGACCAATGCTTTGATGGGCAAAAGAAGAAACCCTGGTAGTCAAGTAATAGCTGTAGTTGTAGCAGAGATAAGTATGTTTTGGAAAAGAGTATGCTCCAAGATACCAGCAAGTAAACTGTCAACACACACTATGTTTTGCACTCTAGCACTTGGAAAGCAAATTTTAGTCCTAATCTTTCTATGCTCACCACTACAAATAACTATCAGTGTACTTAAAGTACTAAACTAATGACTAAGTAAAGCTATTGATCATCTTGTTCTGCATCGCAAAAAACTAATGGTTCAAATCTATTAGAAACTGGTACCTGAATGCTAATTGAACCTGCTTTTAAGGTGCCATCCTTTTCACTATTGTACACCCTTGTAAACCCAGCACAATTTCTTTATTTCTGCTCTAATTTGATTTTTCCCAATCTAATAATGTCATTGTATTTCCTGAGCCTTCTAAAAGTCATAATCAAGTCCACAATTTTCAAAGACATATCAAAATCTTGGCACTTACCACATCCTATAAATTCTACCCCACTGAAGTTAGTAGTTTTTATTCTTTATTATCAATCTACCTATCCACCCACCCAGTAATTGTATATATAAACTAAAAATAAGCTATTCCACACTTTATATATCAAATTTAGATAAAGAGTTAGTAACAAAAAATGCACTGTGAAGAGGGCAAACTAGCAGATGACTTAAAATTACAGAAACTAGTTTAAACACATTCATACATCACTTTCAGTTTCATATTGTTTGTTTATTACAAAACTGTAGATAAATATAACAATAAAATCCTCCATTAATCAAAACTGATATTAATTTCTAGTATTGCAGCCACAAGGCATACAACATCTCTGTTTAGCCCTAAATAGCGTGTGCACCTACACATTCACACTACTTATACTTATAGGGTTAGTTTTTGGACTTTAGTTACACCTATCAATTGCTAATTTAGATTTACTAATGTATTAAGTTCTCAGCAACAATCATTTTATAATAGATACAATGATTTATCATTCTAACTTAGCTAAATGAAATGAAAGACTACTAGATAATGGGAATTACTGATATATGATTAGCATTGTGAGTAGGCTTTAATCTTAGACATACTTATTGGGCTTGTATGGTGAGGGAACAGAGATTTCTTTAAGTAACTCTATGGTTTTCTACATCAAATGGCTACAAAGTCAATCTCAAAGGAACTAGTTTTTCATTGATGTTATACACTAATTATATGAAGATATGGTTACAATAGTTGAAGTGGGATAGCATTTGGGAAATGGATCATTGTATAATAAGGTTTGATATTTTGTTGAATGTCAAGATAAAAAGAAATAAAATTTTAACTCCAGAACATCAATTTTAAGGCCATAAGACAAGATTAATCACCCAACACAGCACATCACCCAGTCTACACCATCCCAACTATCAAGCACAATGGTGACAGCATCATGTTATGGGAAGCTTATAATCATTTATGAATTGGGATAATGAATTTAAAAATGTTGTTCGATATATCTGGGAAAATTGAAAAGTGTTAACTAATTCTTATTCATATTGCATGTGACTATAGACAAAAAAAATCAAGAATACTTGTCATAAGTTTATAAATTTAAACTGGAAAATTTACTAAACTGTAGGAAAGATTGGGATTTGGTTATAAAAGATATTAAGAAGGATTTACGAGAAATAACTAGAGGATAATGTTTGAGCAGCAAGAATTTAAGTAGATTTAAATAAGCAAAATGTTAAAATGGAAATTGACCCCTTACAGGTTGCTCATTGTATGGTTTTTGTTGAAACAAGGAAATGGCTGAACTTTTTGATGTTTTCTCTTCTATTTTTACAAGAGAATATGTCAGCAGTTTTTCTACAGGAAGTATTGGAATTGACCTGAATCATGTAACTATTAGTCCTTTGGTGATAAGTATAAAATTGAGAGATTAATAATCAATAAAAGCACCAGGACCAGGATCATTTTTTCCCCCGAGGTTGATTCTGTTGATTTTTTTAAGAACTTATCTGGACAGTGGTAGGGGGGAATGTACTTGGTGTGCTTAGATTTTCAAACAGCTTCTGATAAGGCCCCATACAGACAATTAGCTAAGAAAACCACATCTGCTGAGGCAGGTAATGGGGAAAAAAAGAACTGTGCAACTAATGGAATTTACTAATCAATTAATTGGCAAACTCATTAATCAATTATATTCAACTAGTTATTTATCATCACATGACATTTGAATAGTTGGAATAATGACAAATAATTAATCGAAATGCTTATGTTTGATAAATTATTTTTGTAAGGCATGAGATTAGTTAATTTAGCTAAACAACCTTGAATAGAAAATAAAAAATCATATTAAAATATTTCTATTACTTGAATAGTTTGAATAATCAAGAAAACTTAATCTTAATTTGATAGATAATGCATTACATTATTAATCAAGTCAATCAAACAGCTCTATTGGGGAAAAATAAAAACTGTTTAAATGGATTACATGATGGTTGGATCACACAAAGCAAAAGGTTATAATTAATGGATTCCACTGGAACTATTTGTGTACCTAGAGGTTAGTGTTTGTGCTTTTGCTTTTCTTATTAAAGATACTTATAGTTATACAAGCATAAATAGTAAAGTTTGATGATGACATTAAACTTTGGGTATTTCTAATTGTACTGTGGATGACAAAGTACTGCAGAGTGACTTGGATCAATCAGCAAATAATTGGCTGAGTGACCTTTATTTAAATTACAGTAAGTCCAAGTTAATGCAACCAATTCAATAACATGACTGAAAAAAGTATTATGGCATAGTGGTGGAAGTCACTCAAATCATCAAGGTTATTTCTAGTAGTAAAGTTTAACAAAGTCAGAAAAGGTAATTCTAAATTCTATCTATATAAACTTGGAATATTGAGTAGTTTTATTCTCCATATCTACAAGCAAAAAAGGTTAGACTTAATGAAGTAGTTTTTGAGCTGTTCTACCAGGATGATTTGGGGGTGGGTTATCTTATATTTATAGAGAAGGATACGTTAAAATCTCTTATTTTAAGTAGGAAAGGGGTTGATCTTACTGTTTAGTATTCTTAAGACTTAAGTTAATGAAGTTTGTTTACAACTTGAGAGTTGTAGTACAACTTACACGATCAGTGAAGGATCGACAAGGTAAAGAAAAGTGATTTATTTGTCCGTATGTTATGCTTATTTCAATCTAAAATTTACTAAATTTAGTACCACATAACCTATTACTATTAGTGTACTACTAGTACTAATATTACCTAGACATAGCAATAACAACTAGGCCTAACGATAAAACTTAAGAATATTCTATAACTTTATTCTTTTGTAATAAACATTGCTATATTTGATATGATTCACAGACAACATTGTATTCTTAACACGAGAAAAATATATTTGTTATTGAGTAATTAATTTCTCTTTAACCTGTTCTCAAGAAACGAAAAACTTTTTCCACCAAAAAACTTAAATTCTTACACACACAAACCGCGAGATTGCTTATTACACCACTACGAGGCGCTATTTTATTAAGTAATTTACGAAAAAATAAAGACTTAAGCTATCCAGCTTTCTAGGTAGGATCGGCATGCAAAATGTTTATATCACATTTGGTTTTAAGTTTGCAAATTATAGTAGCTTGCCAATAAGTTTGTTTGTTTTTAATGCTAAGCTACACAATGAGCTATCTGTGCTCTGTCCATCGCGAGAAATCGAACCATGAATTTTAGTATTGTAAGTCCGTAAGTTTATCACTGACCTCCCAGAGGACTTGCCAATAAGATATTTAATTACACTCTAACCGCTGTTAAAAAATATGAATATTAATTAATCATAAGAGGTCTTAAGTATTCGACTAAGTTAAAACTAATCAGTAATTAAGTATTGTTTTGCTTGAGTTTACACTAATTTTATTTTCTCTAATCTTACATTATACTAAAGGTAGAGGTGTAGTGGAGTAGGAAAACGTGGACACAGAGTACCTGCATTTTTTTATTTTTTTAGCTGAATCACCGTACAACCACTGTTTCAAACACATCCCACCTTACACGGTTGTGCAGCAGATTTCACGTTCCGCCACTTCTTTATTTAGCACTACACCACTAACTAAAGATAAAGTTAAAACATACTTACGTTCACAAAGAGTGTTAAACAGAACAAGGCTTTAACTTTGCTAACATCGTATTTGTTGCTTTAATTTTTTTACCATATATATGTATATATATTGGTATTTCAAGTGTTTCTGATTTATGAACATAGAAATTTTATAACAGGTTTGTAGTGATAGCGATGGCAAGTATTTGTTTGCATAGTGTTGGAAAGGCTTAATCATAAACATTATATACTTCCTTATGTTTTAATCAATCAGAAGTGTTTAAAATCACTGGTAAATGCCTAGCCTTTGATCATAGTTTCTATGCTACTCTCCCACATTCTACATGATTTATATATATCGACACACTTAGAGAATTAGTTTACAGACGAAATTAAACTTTTGGGCAACTTTAGCTGCATAGAAGAGGTTGAGATACTAATACAGGATGATTTGGATCAACTGGTTGTTTGAACATATATTTGGCTAGTGATCTTCAATAATAGTAAACGCTAAGTCCACCAATAGGACAGGGAGGCCGCAGATGTTTTCCCGGAGTCCAAGCCAAAAAAGGGGACCTGTAGAAAGCATTTGGGGTAGGGGAGATTAACTGAGAGAGGTTGTGCATACATCAGTTCTTCCTAGAAGCCCATGAAAACTGTCGGCGCCTTGGTAAGTGCAGTAAATGCTTTTGCGTTATCATTATTTGATTCACACATTTATACATATATATATATGGGAACCCACTCAACATTATAACCGAAAAAAAAGGGTCTTGGCATTGTGATGGCTAAATGAAGTCATTGAGGAAGTGGCCTGTAGCTAGTAACAAAGGTAAAATAAGTTATAGGTGCATTTATATATATCAATTATAATTCAAAAGATGTAATTATCTCTTTGCATAAATCACTAACAGAATGATGACTAGCTTATCAAATGACATGGCTGACATGTTGGAATACTTTAAAATGACAATCTATAATTTCTTAAAAAATAAAAGGTGGGTTTATGTTTTTACTTTTTATCAAGGATGTGTGTACAAGGACAACTTTGAATGACCAAAGGTCACTTGTTGTTCTTATGAGATGTTGTGTTATGCTACACGAGTGCGAATGCAAACCTTCGAGATGCTAGCTTAAAGGTTATTAATGTCATGGACAAATAACATTTCGGCTGGATGAAATAAATAAAAGTTACACTACAGTTCAGAGACAAAGTTAACGGTTAAACTGCTTAAATATGAAATAATATAGTAAGCATGAATTGCTTTAAAGAAAACAGCATTAATGTCTTATGATAAGTAAAACTTTTCAATACTGTTTTTTGAATCCTAAATATAATCAATGAGTATTCGGTCAAATCACAAAAATAATTATATTGATAATTTAATGCATATCTAATAGAAAAAAATATAGAGACACTATTTACATTCACGAACTGAGTTGTTAGAAAAGAAACAAGAAAGAGTACCATTTTAATATTATTTAACTTAAGCTTCTATTCAGATGAATCTTAGCTTTGAAAATTCGGGTACTTGTGTGATATATTCCCGTGCATGGATTTCCCACAAAGCAATCATTTAGGGCCGACTAACTGGAGGTTCGAAGATTGTCACATTACAGAGTGTGGATCTGTGTTTGCCAATTTAGAAAGAACCAATAAACAGAATGTACAGCTCAATAATCTTTATTTAAAAAAAACAGTCAAATGACAAGCAACACATAATCACAAAACAAAGCTAAATATTTATTATTAATGTGTAATGTTGAATTTGTAAGAGAAGAGTGGGAAAACTATTAATAATTTTCTCTTACCAATCCATTGTGAGACATACATCCCTTGTAATCTACAAGAAAATAAGGTGAACCCTTAAATATAAAATAATTCACGAAATTGAAGGAAGATAAAATTAACCTTTAAAGTTAAACACAGAAATGCTAAGTTAAGAAATACAGCTAAAGTTAACTCTCGGCAACATCTGTACAAAATATCTAAACTCTCTGGAAACTTTAAGAGATCTTCTTGACAGGAGAGAACTTGGTTTTATGTACCAAAAACAACAATATATACAAAGTCATGCTGCTCACACTCTGCTCTTCCCACACGTGACTTAGAGGCAGATACATTCAAGCATAAGAGCTTAGAGATCCTGAGCTACTACACGATTTGCTGACAGAAAAGACAGGTTTCTATCTCAAGATGTCACTAGCTATCTTCCTAATGGCCAATTAACAATTATCTGTGTCCAAACTAAGGTGATAAAAAAAAGAAAATCAGTGTAACTAAGGAGATAATTAACACATGATACTATCCTGTGTCACACATGTCCTCCCTCCTTTACTCACAGGCCATCCCAACTATCTCTACTTCTAAAATAAGAATCTAAACTCTAAATTTTAATGATATGTCACTCAAGCAACCGAAAGAACTCACCTTGTGTCAGTAAAACCATTTGCCTAATGACACTAACAAGTAGACTTTGTAAAGAACTTTCCAAAACTACACAATAAAATGCCTCACAGAAGCCACTTATCTCTTCTAGAAAAGGATATTCGAATACAGTACACGGCATGGTACAAAATAACAAAAACTATTTAATTAACAAAGAAATACGTCCACAACTTACTACCCTTCTACATTGATGCCTATCCCGTTTAGAAAGGAATAGCTAACAGTAATACTACAAACAAAAATACTCTTTAACAAATACAAAATAACCCTTCATCAATGAAATACATAAAAGACCATGTTCTTTAACATGAACAACACTCATCACAAATAAACCTTTTAAAACAGCTTGGGTGACTTCACATTATGTTACTCTGAGTAGGTTTTGCTGGCGCAAGATATTTTATGATCCTTCTGGAGATGAAGACACATGGCATGACACTTGTTTCATAAAATGAGAAACTGTTCTTTTCTCAGTGCTCAGATTTTATATTTTATTTGGATTTGAACTTAGTCGTTTCCTTCATTATTATGGGTGCTATATCCAGTGTTGGATTGGGGATTGGATGGCTGACATTTTGAATGTAGAGAGCTCAATATAACTCAAACTCCCTGGCTCTATCATCTGGACTATTACTGATGAGACAGCAGGTGACAGTTTTGGAACATGGAGAACTAGCCCATCAATAGCTTTCCCCAGAGTCTGCATGTTGGTGAGAAATGAATCTTCATTCATAAGCTCCAAAGACATAAACACAAGGTTAGCCCTAGCATTGTTGGTAGTGCTGTGAACTCAGAAATATTGAAAAAAATCAAACAAAAAAGACTCATCAATACTTCCTTCCATTTTTGTGCATATATTGGAGCTAGGTAAGAATACTAATACCGGACTCCAGCTGACAGGTTGAAAACGAAGCTAGCCAGAAAGGTTAAAAATTTGATCTTAAATATGAAAAGTCGGGATTGAAAATGAGGGCTTACCTGTACTCGCACTTAACCTGCTAGTAGAACGCAATCGATCATACCTGTAGACAGCTTAGTCGATGCAATCATGTTCAGATCTCAAACTTTACCTAAACATCAGCTGTGCTCGCTGAAATGGTCCACAACTATCCTGAAACCTCATTTCATTCCCTCTAATACCGTTTGGTTATTACACTGGACAGAACCTGGAGTCGACAGGGAAAAAAATAGGGGTGAGACTACGGCATCTAGTAACAACATTAGTTAGAAAAATATATGGAACACTGAGCAGACACAGACCTGATGTTTCCAACCGTAGAAATACATGAACACCAATATCTCATCTCTCGTATGACTTTCTTCAGCTATGGGATCAACAAGAGGAGGATAATTATCCCTTGCCACAGAGGTGTTACTTTGTGTCTCTGGTACTACATCTACAGTCTGCATTGTCCTGTATTATAACTGTCCTTATACTGGAAAATGTTAAAAATATATTCAGAAAACTGTGTGCTTAGGAAATAATTAAATCTTTATAACCAAAAATATTTCACATGATCAAATATAGCATTGAATACACCAAGCCTAACTTTGATTTCCTGTTTATGAATTTTTCTTTTCACAAGTAACTTCTCCTTACTCACTCGCATTCCACTTCAAGCCAACACATGCAGAACATCGATCAACTTGTTTTCCTGAATATGTGGCGTAAGTCTAGCTATTACTCTTATGTCTTTTCATAAAATTCATTACCTGCTGAATTTCAGCGTAAAAACTGAAACATGGTGACACCTACATCAATGAAAACAACAGACAAAATGTCATTACAAATAATGCCTTACAGGCCAATTACCACAAATAGTTTCATAAATCGACGTCTTATTAATATTTTGATCATATTTTCACTCAAAGGCTGCTTAATGATTGTGTGAAGTTTCTTATATGTGCGTTTATAATCTCTCACACTTATATTGCTTTCTAGAAAATACCTCAGGCACTTACA